ACTTTTTGCATATCCATTTCGATGCCGTCAAAGCAATCTCTATCACTGTGCCAATGTTTCTTCCAATCAATTTTTTGTGCCTTCGATGACATTTTTATTAGCTCAATCGTAGCGTAGCATCGTCCTTTCCTTTGCCTTTTCAGCTGGGAGGCTGCCTGTGGCAACATTAGCCCAGCATTTCATGTAAATTCTTTGCAACTTTTTTTTTTTTTTTTTATTTCCAAAGATGAGCTGGGACATGAGCAGGCGAGATTGATATTAAACATGAGTCAAAGTCAAAGTCAAAGTTGTTGGCATAAGTGAGGCACAAAAATACCAACATTAGGTCACAAAATGAGCCAAAAATGCAATATCTGATATAGGAGAAGTGCAATAAGAAGGCTGTCATTACTTGATGAGGTGAAAAGTTCGACTCAAAAGAGTCTCTTTCTACTCTCTACACTCGCCCTCTCTCTCTCTCTCTCTCTCTCTCTCTCTCTTCTCTCTCTCTCTCTCTCTCTCTCTCTATCTCTCTCTTGTATATAATAATTGTCTTTAATTCACATTAAATATCCGTTTGCTTTTAATTTAATTTAATTAGCTGCGTATCTATTATTAGTTGGAACTTAAGCTCGGCTTACTTGGGCCAAGGCAACCTGAATGAAACCAACTCAAAGTAATTGAAGCTCAACTGCTCAATTTTCATAAAAATGGATTTGTGTTGTTTCAAATTTGACGCAATTTGTGGAAATTATGTTTGCCTTGTGCTGTGCTTGTGTTTGGGGTTGAGGGTTGGAGTTTCTGTTGTTGTTGTTGTGCTGAAATTTCAGGCATTTCGCTGGTAGAGCGCATTCCCGCAACCGCCTTGTTGTCAGCTTACACATTTTTGCAGCTGTAATTAATGAAAGTGGCCGGGATGGAAATTACTGGAAAAATGGAAAGCTGAGTAAAGTGGAAAAAGGACGACCCCATGTCCTTAACTCAAGTGAATCAAAGTTCAACCAGCTTGTCTGGTAATTTGATCAGCGCCATTGTTGTTGCCATTTTGTTGTTGTTGTTGTTGTTGTTGTTTGTTATTGCTGCTGTTGGCTTTGTTTAAAGGACACAAACTGTTGTTGCTGTTGCCGTTGTGTTTGTCCACAGTGTCGGGCATTCGCCGGGCTAATAAGTTAGCTAGCGAATGGGCAGCGAACGCTCGAATGGGCAGGTCAGCTCAGCTCAGCTGAGCTCAGTTAAGTTAAGTTCAGGTAAGGCTCGGGGCTTCAGCCAATTGGCTTTGGCCTTTTGCATATGGCAATGGAATCCCATGAAATGTAAACGTGGCTCAAGTTGCCTTCCCTTCTAGTATGTATGTGTGTGGGTGTGGGTGTGGGTGTGCAACGAAATAAAATTAGTTCAATGAGCATTTGTGCAATCAACTGATTTTAAACAACAAAAATTGGGGGCTGTAATCGAAGTTGAGCAGTTGAGCAACCCTTCATGGCCGAAAAGGGTTGTTCCCGGATTGTGGCAAATAAATTTCACACATATTTGCACACTCATATGTGTGCGTGTGCGTGCGCGTGTGTGTGTGTGTGTGCAGTCAATAACTTTTGCTACAAGGTCGTCAGCGTCTTGGTTGATTGTACTGGAAGGAATAAAGCGAACGAGTGCCCCCCACCCGAAGCCTTACGCCCCTCGCTATGGCCTATGGCCATGACAAGCATATGAAAATGCCATGTTATGTATGCTTAATTTTGTCGAGCGCCCATTTATGGAGTGGTGTGGGTGGTGGCTGGTTGGGTGGCAGCTGAAGCTATCTGCATGTAAACAGGCTCAGGACAATGCCAGTGCCTTGCACGTGACTCATGAGGTAGCTCAACATGACGACACAAAACTGCGAAGACAAAAAAAAAAAAAGGGTTGCCTGTGGGTCTTCACACACACACACACACACACACACACACACACACACACACATGGGCTATTGGTTATTTGTGGGACTTCAGGAAATTTGGTTGCCCGGACGATTATTGCATCACAGATCATTGGACAACAATTGTAAATTGATTAGAGCGACAAACTTGGCCATTTGATGTGGCAACGGCAGCTGATGAGTCATGCTGTTGCAGGTGAACTAGTTCATGCTTGGAACTTGGAGCTAGCTCATTTGCCCGGAGCCAGAGAGCTATTTGCTCACTTTACAATTTGCATGCGAATGCTTCGACTCTGGCATTGCTTTAATATCTGACTTTAAGTCGCTACACACACGCCCACTCACGCCCATTCATACTTGATGCCAATATGTATATACACAGCTTCATAATCATCATCTTCACAATCTCATGATTGCGTTTGATTATCATTGCGGGCCGCATTCATTGCGCTGCCTCTGCTTGCTTTAGACATTTTTGTCAATTTGCTGTGAACTCGCGTCATTTGCAAGCGCTGGCTGAATGGCTGTGGAATGGGGGAAGGGGGAAGGGTGGAGTACGGCGAAAATGGCAAAGCCAAGGGCAACTGCAAAGGGAAAGCGGCGGGCAGGAGGCAGCAGACAGCAGACAGCAGGAATGCTAGTCGCATTTGCTACAACACGATTTGCTTTAACTGCGAAGGTTTCGCAACGGCGTCTGCTCCGCGCACAGCCAGCAAAGGTAGCCCATGCCAAAGAGCACACACACACACACACACACACACACACACACACACACACACCTCACACTCACAGAGGCACATCTTATTTATTTCTATTTTTATGTGTCACACACGGCACAAGGAGCCACGCATTTTATTTTGCTGCGCATTTTCACTCCTTTCTTGTTGGCAAGCAGCTTCTGGTTGCTGGCGCCGCCGACTCCTTCGACTCCTTCGACTCCTTCAACTCCTCTCCGGCATCTAGTTCACCTTTAACTTTTTCTGTTGTTGTTGTTGTTGTTGCTCGTTTCTTTCTTCTCGTCCTCCTTGCAGCTCCTTTGGCATTTCGTACACGGCACGACATTCTCCCAATTGTGTTATAAATTCAAAAATGAATAACGCACGTTTGCCTGTGGTTTAAAATTCTATTTCATTTTATTGCCATTGCCTCTCGCCTGTCGTCTGTCCTCAGCTCAGTCCAGCTCTTTGCGAGCTGTGGTTCTAGCTGCTGGCATTTCGTTACGTTGCCTTTATGAAATGCTTTCACTTTTTCGACAGTCTCCACTGTATTTTATTCTATATATTCTCTCTCTCTCTCTCTTTTTCTCTCTCTGTCTCTCTCTATTTTCCTCACTTAAATGGCACACATTTGTTCTGTTGCTTTCGTTCTTTCTGGTCTGCCAGCACTCGCTCAATTAAAACAGTTTTTTTTCGGGGGGAGGGTGCTGGGTACTGCAAAAAAATTGTCCCCAACTCAGGAGGCCTCAGTCTTCGACTTTGTGTGGGGAGAGAGAGAGAGTGCTGCCAGTGCCTAACCAAGCTACCCTCTGCCCCTACCCACCTACCCACCTACCCACCTCTCTGTTTTTGCCTCTACCGCTCACCTACCAGAGGTAGAGCTGCCTTTCGTGTGTGTTTGTTAAAGCTGCTTAAAGAGTTTCCACAGCCATCGCAGCGCGCATTCTGCGGTCTGCTCTGACATTTCTTTTATGACCTCTACTCAGCGCTCCCTCTCCCTCTCCCTCTTCCCCTCGCTCGTACAGTGTGGATTTATTTTTGGCCCAGAAATTGATTTATTAGCCCTAAGCTTCTCACTGCTAGCTTTTTAAGTGCCTCAACTCTGAGCTGCTGTCGTAGCACTCGGCGAACTAGTTCCAAATGCTGGCAATTGGCTTATGATATGATGGTTTGGCTGCATTTTCAGCTTTACATATATTTAGTTGATATACTCATTCGCACGTGCTGCAAAAGTGTATATTGGTTGCGTGCAATGGCCGTCGAATGAATGGAAATAGAAAATAGATTGCAAAATTACCTTTTCGATGAGGTATATATCAAAATAGTATATTTAACATAACTTACAAAATTTAAAAAAAATGGCAAGGAGATCACTTTTTTACTTGATTTACACAAAAACTCAAAATATCGATAATTATCGAGAAAGAATTTTTTTCAAGTGGATAGAAAATTTACGATTTATCGCGATATTCGATTTAGCGGGGTATTCAAAATTTACCAATTGTAGAGCTCCTAAATGTAAGAGCTAAGATCCCTGCAGATTTCCTTTGTGACACTTTTACTCCCAAAAAGTACAGAGTATTCCGCAGTCGTTACCAAGCACCTCCCCTCCCCCCCCTACTGTCACATATTTACTTGTTAATTTCGTTATAAAGTCTGCAATTGTTAGATATTGCTAGTTAGGCATGAGATGAGTTCGATCTAGACAATGGAACAATGAGTTATTGGGACATTGGGACAGTCGAGCCTTGAGCTTGGACTGTCCTCTCAGTATCAGTCAATCAGTTGGCTTTTTGCTCTCTGTGTGGCTGCTCAAAGAGTTAATTCAATTGTAATGAGAGCTCAAGTCAATTGCAATTGGCAAATGCTGATGGCAGGCTGATGTCAAAGGCAGTGCGGCCTATATATGCATGTATGCGTGTATGTAGCTCATATAAACCAAATATCAGACAAACGAACTGCCAATTTGGCATTCAGATATTGACAACTAATTGAGATCAATCTGTTCGACAAACATTCAATTAGCCATGGAATTTGGCCAAGAATAAAAAATCATTTTTACTTTAAAATGTAAATGTGTGCGGGTGTGTGTGTGCCTGTGTGTTTGACAGGCACTGTAGTTAGTATTTTGTATTTGTATAACTCAATTTCTTACGCTTGATAAAACATTTGCATTCCACATGCAAATTTCACTTTGATGAGTTTTTCATTTTCATTTTCAGTTTTCAGCTGCTGCTGCTGCTTATTCCCTTTTATAGTGTATGCCAAAAGTATACGCATGCTAATTAAATTGTATTTTGTATTTTTATTTTATATATACATATATATTCAATGTACTCACTCTCTCTCTCTCTCTCTCTCTCTCTCTCTGTCTTTCTCTATGATTACAGCATTTCCATATTTATAAGCAGCCGAGGCCAAGCACTTTGAGCTGAACTGAACATTTTTTGTTGGGAAATTGAGCTTTTCGACCTGCTGGTAAGTTTAAGAAAATACTGTAAATAGAGCGACCCACATGTATACTATATGGAGGCGATTATCTTGTCTCTTCTCTCTCTCTCTCTCTCCTCCGTCTGTGTGTGTGTGTGCATTTTGTTGATTTTACCGTTTTATCAAAGAACATCACAACAACAACAACAACAGCAGCAAATGAAACTTATTGGAATTTGAAAATGTCGACATTGACATGCGTTGAAAGCGTTGTCAGCTTCGATATGGCCACTGCTCCCCAATCTCATCTAGTCATGCCCCATCTCTCATTCTCCCTCTTACTCTTCCTCTTCCGCTCCCTCTCCCTATCTCTCTCTATGGCTGCCCAGTGTGCGTGTGTGTGTGTGTGTTTTTTTTTATATCAGTTTTATTGTGTTTTATGTCGCAGCAAAGTCAACCAAAAAGCGGCTTAAAAAAATTCAAGAGCAACAATCCAAAAGATGCGTATCATGTGGCTAGCATTAGGCATGCTCCCACTCGCCCTCTGCCACGCCCCCCGCCCCCTCTCTCCCAGCCAGCCCGTCTGCCCTCTCTGGCTGTTTAGCTAAAGATTTTCATTTTATTTTTCATAAATTGTCGCTGGACAAAAGTTGAGAAGCTGCAAGCATTTTCCTGCTTTTTCTTGTTTTTTATACCCTGAACCCATTGAAAATGGGAAATCAGGGTATAATGGTTTTGTTAAAAGTATGTAACAGGCAGAAGGAATCATCTCAGACCCCATAAAGTATATATATTCTTGATCAGGGCGACGAGCTAAGTCGATTTGGCCCTGTCCGTCTGTCTGGCCGTCCGTCCGTCCGTCCGTATGTATGAACGCGTCGATTTCAGAAGATATAAGAGCTAGAGACTTGAAATTTTTTTTCCTAGGTCCGTGTATATCACGCGCATATCAAGTTTTTCTTTAAATATCGATAACTACTCCCGATATTTTATTATCGATCAAAAACCTTATCGAATGCTAGTTATTTAATTATATCTCCTACACCTTTAGAGCTAGAGCTTCCAAGTTTTAAATGTAGACTTATATATATTTTATATAATTTCGATTTTTGTTGTAATTTTCCCCTCACCCCTATATCCACCCCCTCACCCTCACCTTTGTAAAAGACGTATTTCAAGTACTAGAGACTTGTGCTTTGGAATGTACATACATTTGAACATTATGATTATGTTCTGAAAGTTTCATTAAGATTGTACCTCTAGAAATTAAATTATTCAACAAAGAAATTCTTATAATGTTGCCCACACTACAGCGCAGCCCAAGCGCAGTCGCTGCTTACTGCGCAGTTAGCAGAGCGCGTTCTAATACGTGCGTGTGTATGTATGTGTGCCGAAAAGAAGTGCAGAGTGAATATCAGATTAGAGGGTTTAGGGTATCTCCTAGTCGAGCAGTCTCGACTAGAGTCCTCTTACTTGTTTTTTCTTGACGTAGCGCTTGTCCATGCTCTACCTCTCTCGCTCGCGCACACGCTCTGTCAGATATGCATCTCAGTTGTGCGCGTGTGTGTGTGTGGTATTTTATTGTCATTGTGGCTTTTTGGGGCTCGTTGACTGCCTTTTTTGTTGTTGTTATGGAGCATCTCTCTCTCCCTCTTTCTCACTCTCTCTTTTGTTAGGCTCAAGTAAATCAGTCTGTCGTCTAAAGATACACACAGACAGACAGACAGACAGACACATTGATATACACAGCCACAAATGTATTCGTAATTGTGCGCAGCTGCCTCGCCGACGCCGTTTTGTTTATGATTTGTCAAGATTTTAATCCCCGAAAATGTGTTTTAAATTGCAGCGCCTACGATAAGAATTGGGCCAGAGAGTGAAAGAGAAAGCGAATGAGTTGCAGTGACGCATGGAGAGTGGAGAGTGGAGAGGGTGACTGAGAGGGGGCAGGTAGCTGCATAACGAAACGAAAAGAAAACCTGAAATTGTTGTTGGCCAACAAAAAGAGTTGCGTTTCGGCAGAGACTGAGGAATGGAAGTGGAAGTGGGAGAGGGAATGGGAGTCAGGGAGAGGCTGTAGCAAGGAGACAGACATATGGCATCCATAATTTGAAAGAAAGACTGAAAGAACTGACTGCGTGGGGAGTGCTAATAAATTCACCTTTTACCACAAAATATTGCCAACATTTGCAAAAGACAAACAGCTAAGCCCAGTCCACACATATGTGTGCGTGTGTGTCTCTGTGTGTGTGTGTGTGTGTAATGTGTGGGCGGCTTCGCAACATAAACCTATCCCCAGTAACTGCAGCTACGCTGCTCTGCCCTCGTCAGCTCGCATTCGCCCTGCTGCTTGGCTGACTTCTGATTGAGGCAAAGCTCCAGGAACATTGTACGCTCCTCTCCACAGCCATTGCCGTCCGTCTGTCCGTCCGCCTGTCCGTCCGTCTGGGTGTTGATTTTTGTCAACCTAATACAAAGTGCAAACAAAATTTGTGTTGGCATTTGGTTAGATTTGCCATTGCTTTGGTTTTTCTGTTTTTTTTTTTTTTTTTTTTTTCTTTTTTTCACATTTTTTTTGTCGCCCTGAGAGCAGTGGCAGGAGTAGGTGTATCTGTGTGCGTGTGTTTCTGTTTGTGTGTGTGCTTGATAGCAGCCAAAGAAGAAGATTTTTATAAGTAAAAGCCATAGTGTGGCCAAGTGATAGCGTCTGCTTGCTGAAATTCTGCGTAAATGAAAAATACGATGAGAGCTGCAAATTGAGAAAAATGTGAGGTGCAGATTCAGAGAGATAAAGATACAACATAATGAGATAATTGAGCAAATCTGTCAAGCATAAAGATGCAATAAAAACTAATTATTTCTATTTAATTATGATATTTAAGAATATAATTGGCTAAGCGTATAATTGGGAAAAATTATATTGAGAGAGAGAAAGAGAGAGCGAGAGAGAGGGAGAGAGAGATATGTGAAAAAGGAACTTAGATGAAAATAAATAAGACTGCAGTAGTGGGGAGTAACCGACTATCATATACCTAGATTCCTTTAAATATGGATATATCACTGGGTAAAGTCAACTTCAGTTATCAAATTAGGGATTAGCATAAATTATAGAAAAATGCGATGAGTTACTGAGAACAAAGAATCAATCGTATTCTAAGGTATATAAATATATAGAGAGGAATATATATATTTTAGATTTCCAGTCAAAAAAAACAAAAAAAGGGATTGGGTTAGTTAATAATAGATCGAGAAAAAAATGAAGTAATATATAGACTTCTCTGAAAAATAGAGAATACATATCATTTTACATAAATTATTCTCCATATATAAACTTAGTAAAAAACAGAAAATATTTCTAAAATATATTAACAAGATATTTATCGTTGTTTTTTTTTTTTTTTTTATTTTTTTATTTATTTATGTTTTTTTTTTTTTTTTTATTTATTTATTTTTTTTTTAATTTATCAACTTTACTTCCATTTAAAATTCCACATGAATTTATCTAAAATTTTAGCTTTAAAAAAAAACTATAAATTTATTTATTAAAAGCAAGAGTAGACAATTTATTACAATAGCCAGAGACGGGCAACTGTTTGAATGAATACACTCATTCATTTATTCACTTGACCCGTTCAGTTCGTGATGTACAGAAATTTGGAGCTTTATTAATTAATTGTTCTGCTATTGTTATTGCTATAGATGCTGCTGTTGCAGTTGCAGCTGTTGTTGCTCTCAATTTGTGGCCTACATTTCGTGTTGCAATTGCTTGGTGGCAAGCTGCTTCGCGTTTGCCAAAACTTCCACTTGAGCCAGCCACTTGCAGCTAGAGTGCAACACCAACAAGTGCAACAACAGCAACAACAACAACAACAACAAACAGTCAATGCATGTTAATTAAAGTCATTACGTTGAAGGATGCCTGAATGGGAGCAGGGCGCAGGAAGCCGGAAGCTGGCAGCTGTGGTGCTGTGGTGCTGGGGGCGCTACCGGCAAGCGGCAAGCGGTGAGCGGTGAGCGGTGAGCGGCATGCCACAAATGTATTGGGCGTCGCTGCCAGACGCTGCCCGATCCCTGTTTTGGCCAGCATTACGGCTGCCATTTCAATTGGCCCGCCAAATTGGCCAATTTTCATATGCATGATGCGTTGGGGCTCAAGGCGAAAGAGAACTGTCGAATGTCGATTGAATGAGTGCATGAGTGCATGAGTGTGTGAGTGAATGGGTGCACGAGTGTGTGTCGACTGAGTGGATGGGGCATGAGCGACGCTTGCCATTGACATCAATGAATTTTTGACTATGGCAAGCTGAGCTGAGGGTGGTGGACTCGGGTGTGGGTGCAGCGTGTGGCACGTGTGCGGCAACAAAGCATCGTTCACATGCCACATGCCACATGCCACATGCCACATGCTGCATGCTACATGCCACTCTACAATAGCGACGATGCCTTGCAGTTAGATTTTTGAACGCAGTTGCCTTCTAATGATGTGCAACACGCACAAAATGTGCTAATGAGTTGACAAGACTGAGGGACAATCGATGAGGGAGAGCGAAACATAGAGAGCGTGAGAGAGAGAGAGAGAGAGAGAGAGAGAGGGAACTAATGAGTTGTCACCTTGTCTTGTTCAACTGAAACCTGTTGCACTCGAAAGCTTTGTTTTTCTCAATTGCTGCTAGCTGCACATAATTGAACTGGCCACAGCTGCCACCACGTATCCATAAGATACTTTTGGCTACCTAATAGATAGATAGCTAGAAATACATATATAAGCTGCCGCGCTTTACTGCTTCAGCTGCTGCACGAAAAAAGTTTAATAAAACAACTTCAAATCATAGAAATAGCCTTGGCTAAATTGCTTTGCCCAAACGCCCACACACAAACACAAACAGACACACACACATACACCTACACCGAGTGAGGGAGTCACGGCCAGTCAGTCGGTGGCGCGGGGGGGGTCTGGCAATCAGGCCAATTCTGAATAAAAAATGACTACCTGTGCACGAGTCCAGCTGAGCTGAGACTTGGCTACAAAAAAAAAAAAATGGCAAAAAAGAAGCTAATCGATTCAAGCAAATCGATAATTGATATATCGAAAACACAATTTACGTAATTCCAGCAAAAAGCTAATAGCGCAAAACTAATTTAGCCCAGCTATTACATATTCAAGCTATTATAGCTGTTTCTTGAACTACTTTTTTAACAGGCTCGACTATAATTGTAGAATGTATCACAATCAAAGGTAATTACATAACTGCTAAATAGTCATGGGGAAACTTGCAGAAGCAAACGGTACTTGGGCTAGAGAAAATAGTTATTAAAGGAAAAAGATTGAATTTCTTAGTAGAGTGAACATTTTTTTCTTTTTATAAATTTTGTATTTGCAATCTGTCTTGAAAAATAAAATATATAAAACGTAAAATGTAAAATATAAAATTTAAAATAAAAAATATAAAATATTAAATTTAAAATATAAAATATTAAATATAAAATATAAAACATAAAATATTAAATATTAAATATAGAACATAAAATTTAAAATATAGGTTATAAAATATAAAATATATAATATAAAATATAAATATAAACTATTAAATATAAAATGTAAATAAAAATATAAGATAAAAAATAAAAAAAGTAAAATATGAAATATACAATTTTAAATTTTGAAAATAAAATATAAAATATACAAAATTAAATATAAAATATGCAGTATGATATGTAAAATATAAAATATAAATTATAAAAAAGTATAAAAAAAATAACAAAATATAAAAAAAAAAAAATAAGCAATTGTCCACAAAATCTCATAAAATTCGAAACATGGTTAAAGAACCTGAGCAAGTCCTTTGTACCTTTTAAGTTCTATGAGTCAAGCCACAGTTCCATTCTATGCCTAGCCTATATATATGCATTTATATGCATATAAAATATAATATATAGGCATATCCTTGCTTAGCTGTTTGTTCAATTGGCAATTGGTGTTTGCGAAGCGCTTAGCAAAAATCAATTTTCTGCAGGCAACTCAATTATGCACTGGAAATGGAAATCGCATGGCTATAGAATTTTCTACTACTTCCATATATGTACACATATACATATATTAGAGAAATGTTTTTATTATTTAAATTGGAAAAAATGCATTTGATCAGTTGCTGGACATTTCTGGTCGGCTATGGCATTTAGCTAGTTTCTGGATAGCTCCGCCTTTTTTTATTTTTAATCTTCGACATGGGCAAACTCAATCAGCCAAATCAAAATGTTGCCTGCAAATAAACGGCAATGATTTGCTGTTGTTGTTGCTGTTGCTGTGGCATAGACGACCGCAAACAACTCGTTAAAATTTGCATGTGAAATGCAATCGGCTAAAACTGAAAAAGGCTAAACCAAAAACAGGCTACAAAACAGTGGCAAAATATAGGCAAAAACAAAAAAAAAAAGAGTCGAATTGATGAAACAAATAAGCGCGCACACGCATTCAGACACTCAAAACGTTGAGGGTGTTGCATGGAAGAGGGTGCAGGAGCAAGAGCTGGAGCAGGAGCAGGAATAGGAGTGCGGGCTGTGCCGCTGAGCTAGGGGAAGCAACAGGGAGCAGGAGCAGTAGCAAAGCCAGCGCCAGGGGCAGCCTATTGGCGTAGGTGTCCATCGTCAGCAGAGCTGGCCAGCTGGTAGGTTCTACTCGATGCCCAGTACAATAACAAAAATAACTAAACAACATTTTTGGCCATGGCGCACGGCACACGGCTATCAATTTGATATATCAATCAGCGTGGGATAAAAATGATTGCCAGTTGCTGCTCGATGGTCCGACAGGCATTCCGCTCCTGCTCCCACTCCCGCCCCTGCTTCCTGCTGCCTTTCCTCGATTGTTGTTGTTTGTAGTTCGTTATTGCTGTGCAGTGAAATCGAAATGCCTCAAAAAAGAAGAAGCAAAGAAGAAACAAGCATAGCAACAATAACAAATATCAGCAAAGCATGCCGAATGCTAAATACTCTAGAAATGCAAGTTCTGGTCAAGAATTTACAGTGCAAGCAATTAGTTTTCGTATGCACATAACGAGAGATGCGAAAAGACGGACGACAAATTGCATAGCTGACTAATCAAGCCATGGGGGAAGGAGAGAACAACAGCAACATCCAGTCAACAACAATAACACGAAATTTGTGGCGAGTGCAACATTCGGTGGCATGAAAAAGATTTGCATGTTGCCAGCCAGAATTGCAGCGCATTTCAATTGGCTGGATGATGTTGGCCTTGAGGCAGCGCAGCAGATGCAGGGGGGGGATGGTGCACTCGGTTGCCGGCTGCCTCAAGGATTAGCCGAGTTGCGGCTGGACGGCTGCGAGTGGCTCATAAAGGCGATCTGCGCCCAGTGCTCTCCTGATTGATTTATGGCCACTGGCTCGTAAAAGTGGGTGGGTGGGCCACCGGACCAGCGAGATGGCCGGATGGTGGAGAGACGGGCGAAAGGATTAACAGCGGGTGGCAGCGCGGCCAAAAACGAAGATAGAGCGGATCTCAGTTTCGGCTTTGCTATCAGTCACACACGCACGAGAAGAAGAAGCACAAGCATGAAATGAATTGTGGAGCAGCGAGTGAGCGACAACGACTAACAGATGCCCTGTAAAAAGTTGAACGTTCCATTTGACAAGTGTGAGACAAGTGAGAGCGATAGAGCTTTACCTGAGAACCTCTTTGGACAATATTAACATGTATTAATCTTAAAGAAAAATGGCTAAAAATTATATATAAAATTAAATATAATAATAAAAAAAATAATAAATAAAAAATATATATATGCACAAAAAACAAAGCATACAAAAAATAAGTTAATTGAAAAAAAAAAATACTAAATATATATAAAAAGAAAAAATTAATTAAAAAAGTTAAAAGAAAAAATATATTTAAAAAATAATATACATTTATTTAAAAAATAATATATTTAAGAAAATGTGTATACAAAATTTAAAAACTTAAAAAACATAAGTCAATTATTAAAAATAAAGAAAAAGAAAAAATACTAAGAAAAGAAATATAAACAAAAAACTATTGAAAAACACATAAATAAATATTAAGATGTATATATATATATATATATATAAATATATATAAATTCATAAAATATAAAAAAAAAGTTTAAACACATATATAAACATTAAAAAGAAATATACATTTATTATATAATGTAAAAATATAAATCATTCTACATTTTGTTTAAAGAAAATTCTTTTTATAAGTTTAAAATACAGATTGTAAATAGTCGAGTCATATGATACTTTGTCCATTATCATCACTTGCTGTATCAGCATGTGCATATACCCCATTACAATTGCCAATTAGAGGGTATGAAATAACTCTGCCTGCGCTTGCCGCCTGTTAATAGCTTTAATGCTGTTTTATGGCATTCGTCGAGTGGACGACTCTGGAACTGGGAGCTGGTAGATGGTAGATGGGAACTGCTGCTAACTGGCAACTGGGAACTGGGAACTGAGAACTGAGAACTGGGAAATGGCATGCCAACGCCAAATGTTTTACATGCGTGTTGTTGTTCCTATTGTTGTTGTTGTTGTTGTTGTTGTTGCGGCGGCAACAATGTTTTGTTTGGCGGTCGCATAAATAAATTGGGATTGGAGTTTTCGCTGGCTCAGTGCCTGCTGCTTCGGTGCCGGAGCAAAGCTCATAATTCCAGCTTTTATTTGTGGGATTTTGGCATGGCATGGCATGTCAGTCATGTGTCGTTCTGTTTCTGTTTCTGTTGCTGTTGCTGTTGCTATTACTGGCTGTGTTTTGGGCAACGGCTACGATGCCCCATCCATTCATCCGCCCGCCCGCATGCGCATTCGTAACGCTTTCAATTCCAACGCTGATTAATGGCTTTGTTTTCTCTCTCTTCTTCTCGCCCCTCATCTCTTCTAGACGATGTGCGCTTGAGTGGACTACTCTTTCGCTCTTCGAAACTTCGCCACTGGAGCCGATAACGATAGCGATAACGATAACGATAACCGAGAGCGTCAGCATATTACTGTCGGTTGCTCAGCGAGAAAGCATTACAAAATAAGGAGAGCATCAACATGTATCCAGGCAGCGCCAGCAGCACCGCCGCCGCAGCGTCCAAATTTCAGAATCGATGCGCCTCGCCACAATTCGCCAGCTTTGCACCGCCGCCGCCGGCCGATTACCCACCACCCACATTGCAGCAGCAGCAGCAGCATCAGCATCAACAATTGCAGACACAGACCACGGTGGCTGTGCACAGTGCACCCGGACACGGCTCCATGCGCCACCTGCAGCGCAATCAGCTAACTATGAGCGGCCACGGCCACGGCCATGGCATGGCGCACGGCCACGGCCATGGACACGGACACGGTCATGGCCATGGCGGGCTGGGCATGGGCATGGGCGGCCTTGGACATGGGGCCGCCACGCTGGGCCATCACCATGGCCATCGCGGCGATCTAATCTTTCCGGACGACATGGACAGCATTGAGTTCTGCATGCCAGCGCCGCCCTCGTCCTCCTCATCGTCGTCGCAGCAGAACGGAGAGATGCTGCTGCTCCAGGGCGGACACGGCGAGCCCTTCACGGAGCGACGACGACGCGGACACAGTCGCCGCAGCAACCACAAAATGGATGTGGAGCAACAGGTGAGAATGAAACAAGAACTTGGCTAGAATTATGAGTTAGTTATAAACTCTTAAAAAAATATATATATATACATATATATATATATATATATATATATATATATATATATATATATATATATATATATATATATATATATATATTAATAAATAATTTTTTTTAATACTGAGAAAATAATAAAAAGGTAAAAAAAAACTTTTGATTAATATTTCGAAATAATATTTTGTTAAAAAAAAAATAAGGACATATATTGATTTTGATATTTAAAGATATCTAACAATTAAAATATTGGGAAAAAATATAAAATAAAACTATAAAAATGCAAATATTTAAAAGCGTACAAAAGAATTATTTAAAATAAATAAAATATAATGAATATATAAATAAACAAATATAAAAATGAAAATAAAATGTATTTTAATTTCAAATAAATTTAAGAATAAAAAAATCACAAATTTTTTAATTTTGGAAATTATGGAACATATTAAAAATATGTTTAAAATTTGTTTATTTATATTTATTTATTTGAAATTCATATTTTTTTATTTACATATGCCGAAAAAAAATTGAAAAAATTGATTAAATATAATCATGTACTTGATCCTTTATATGATATATTTATTAATAATATTTTATTATTTAAATTAACATTTTTGTTTGGTAAACTGAATTCAAGAAATATAAATGCGAGAGCTACTAAATTGAATATGTGTCTCTATGAAAGATTCCCGCTGAGGCGTAATGAACACCTTCACACATTTACACTGCTCGCACAAAGTATGCACAGCATTAATTACAGCTCGCGTATCGCTGGGCTTTTGGAGAGCAACTCGATCGATATTTAATCATGCGTTTCGATAATTCACAGGTCAAATGGTCACGCAAGAACATCGCTGCCACAATGGAGCGCTTCGAGCCCACCGCCACGGCGCAGTCGTCGTCGTCCACCTCGTCGCTGGATTATGGCTTTGCCGCTGGCGTCATGACGCCCGGCAGCAGCAGTGCCACGCCCTCGCACGGGGCTGGCTCAGCGGCCGGCATGTCGTCCACGGCCTCGCTGCATGTGGCCTACAATGGAGGCGGTGGTGCCGGTGGTGCCGGAGGTGCAGCTGGTGTGGGTGGTGTGGGTGGCGCAAGTGCTGGAGCCATGGGCGCCAGTGGCCCAGCTGGAGCGGCAGCTGCTGCGCCATTCAATCACGTCTACTCCTATGCCTATTACGAGCCCGGCGCCGCCAAATGCCATACGAACGTGCCCGCCCAGGGCCAGGGCAATGGACATCATCACGCGCCGTCAAAGAGTCCGCCGCGCAACTCGATCCGGGCGCTGCTGGCCAAGAGCTTCCGCTCGAAGTCATCGTCGCACAGCGGCCAGTCCACATCGTCGTCGCCCAGCGCCGAGGAGCGGGACAGGCACACGTATACCACACGCTACGGCACCACCGAGAACCTGTACGAGGAGGTTAGCGATCAGAAGATACGCAAAGTGCTCTCCGACAATCGCATTGCCACGTCCAGTGCGGGCAACGTCAAGGAGGAGCTGCGTCGCGTCCAGCACAATCATTTCCGTGTGCTGGACGAGCTCAATCTGTCGCTGGAGGCGCTCATAATGCCGCCCACGCCGCCCGACATCAGCCCCAGCCACGGTGGCCCGGCCAGCGCCAGCTCCAACGATGTGCAGCACGAGGCGCCAGCCACCAGCACCAGCTGCAGCAGCGGCAGTGGCAGCGGCAGTGGCAGTGGCAGTGGCAGCGGCAGCGGCGCCGTTGGCAACTCCTCCTCCTCGTCCTCCTCCGTGCAAGGCAAGAATGTGCTGAGCACCGGGCAGCGGCCGCGTCGCGGCGGTCTGCTGGGCGGTGCCGCGGCCAGCGCCGCATCCAACTCCAGCTCGGCCTCGCACGCCAGCCTCGAGAACTTGTCGAGCACGCTGAACAGCATGGAGCTGAAGGATCATGCGCACAGCAGCTGCATCAATCCGGAGTTCGATGAGGGCGACCTCGACAGCGGCTTCAGCGGCAGCGGCAGCAGCAGCGGCGCCAGCTACAATGAGAGTTTGCGCTACTATAAGACGGCCACGCCCACTAGCCATAGCCATAGCCATAGTCACAGTCATAGCCATAGCCATGGGCACAATCCCACAATGATGAACCACAGCAACAGCAGCAGCAGCAACAGCAACAGCAACAACAACAGCAACTGCAACAGCAACAACAACAATAACGGCAACAGCAGCACACTGCCGCACAACCTGCGCAGCTGCCGATCCTCGACAGCGTCGGGCACCTCCACCTCGAAGAGCAGCATGGCCAGCTGTGGCGAGGATCAGGGCATAGCCGGCATGGGCATGCCAATGGGCATGGGCATGAATATGGGCATGGGGATGCCAATGCCAATGAACATGGCCATGGGCATGGGCATGCCCATGAATACGAGCCTGGCCATGGGCATGGGCGAGATGACAGGCGGCAGCTCGATGTCGCCATTCAATTATCCGCGACGCTGCTCGGCGGATCAGCAGCGGGCGTCGGGCCGTTCGATTGCATCCGCCACGGGCTCCGCAACGGGCGGCGCCATCTCAGTGGCCACCGGCGCGAAACCCAAAAAGAACTTCTGGACCATGAAACCGTGATGCTACAAAAAGGCCCTGCGTCACATATGCAAGAAATGGAGCATTGTTATGGTGAGTACAATGAAAATTGGAGAGAATAATATTCAATAAGAGATTTGATCTGATATGATATGATATAATATGATGTGAATTGATACGATAATATTTATTATAAATGAATTGGATAGGAATATTGAAGTGAAGGATAGATATATGGGATATTGATGATATATGGAAGATATTAGAATGAAGGATAAATGTAATGTATTAATGATGTATATGATATGGAAGATATTGAAGTGTTGGATAAATATATGGGATATTGATGATATGATATTGAAGATATTAAAGTGAAAGATAGATGTATGGTATATTGATAATATATCTAATATTGTAGATTTTAAGAGTACTTGATGATGACTTATATTAATAGTAGTTCAATCCCTTACTGTCCACTCAACTTTATTTAACAGTTAATATTGGTTTTGCTCATTATTATCAATTAGATTTTACATATGTTAAAAAATGTTGTGGTAGAACCCATCTATAAATAATAGATAAAAAAAAAAAAAAAAAAAAACAAACAATAAAAATATAGTAATATAAATAAATAGACTCAAAAAAAATTTTAATAATAGAAAATAAATTTAAAAAAAAATAATAATAATAATATGAAAACATAAATTAAATAAATAAAAATAATAATAATAAATCAAATGAAAACGAAAATAATATAAATATAAAAAATACATTAAATATAAAATGCAAATAATGATAAAATGCAATAAATTATATTCAATTTTAAATTAAAAATTAATATTAAAAATATTAAAAACAAAAATAAACTTTAATTAAATAAATCAAAATTTAAAACAAAAACTTCTTGAAATGGAAAGCAAAAAGAAAAAATGGAATTAGAAATATCTAGAAAAATCACTTGTAAAGAACAGCTATAAATAGCTATGCATTACACCATAAAAAATATTCCAAACACATATGAAACAAAGCAGAGTCTCTTATCTCGGCCTCAGTGCCAAGGAGTTCCATTAGCACTCTCTCAACACGATTTATTGATTGCTGGTGCATGTATAAATGAGTATAAACGGCGAAAATCTCTGCAAATTCTGAAGATCTCCAGCGGCACACACTTATAAAGCTTTTCTCTTTCACTAATGACACCTGCTAAACGTTTTAGCTCTGCCTCGGCTCTCGCTCACCCAAAGCCTCGTTTGTGACTCAGCCTTAAAAGTTATGCTGCTCGTCGTCATTGTTATCGTCATGATTATCGTTATCGTAATCGTTATCGTTATTATTATTATAACTACTGCTGTCCCAATTCTGTTTATCTTTGTATATACAATTCTTTTATGCTCACCTCCCTGCCCCACCCCAGCTGAGCCCTGTTGTTGTTGTTGTTGTTGTTGTTGTCGCTCTAACTGTTGCAGCATCAATTTCAACTTTTCAACTTTAATCATAATAAATTTGCGGCTTGGCCCAGACCCAGGGCTCCATTTCAAATCAACGAGGCATTTCCGCTACCGATGCTGCTGTCGCTGCAGTCGCAGTCGCCGTCGCCGTCGACGTCGACGTCGTCGCTTTGGCCGCTCTCGGATATTCCCAAGATAATAAATTTATTAACAGGCAGCGCGGCAGCAACAGACAACATCGTCATTATCTGTAGCGGGCAGCTTGCCCCCGCGCCCGCCCTTGCCCTCGCCCTCGCCCTCGCCCTCGGCCTTGCGCTGTTTGCCCCCTTTCAATACCCACGAAATGAATCAATTAAAACTGATTGAACTTCATAGATTTGATTCTCTCTCTGTCTCTGTCCCTCGCTGTCTGTCTCTGTCTCTTCTTCTACTGCTTCACTCTTATTTTTTACATATATATATATATATATATATATATATATATATTCATCTGTGCAACTGAAACTGGGGTAATGCCGGATTCGGACTCGGATGCGGACCGCATCATCTCTCCGGGCAGCTATGTGGGAACTTGTTTGCACACACACACACACACGCACACATGCCCCCATTTTCTTGGTCTGCCACAGGGATTATGAGTGCGCAAGTGAGGCCATTAAGGCGCCTGTTGAAATCGAAATCCCAATATCAGCATTAAAACTCTTACAGCCTAAGATGCAGTCCGTCCAATGCGGCCAATATGCTCTCTGGCTCAACAATCGATTGCTGCCGGCAGCAACCCTTGTGAATGAACGATGCTGTTATTCATTGCATTTTGTTATAAATCTGTCAATTTGCACAATTGTGCGTGCGCTTTGTGCATTCGACAGGGTCGCGGCTGAGCCGAGGGCAGCGGCCGATTGGGCGAATGGGCGGGGTTCACAGCATTTTGGGGTGAATCAGCGATGCGATTCGACTCGAGCAAGACAGCATCTGAGCCTGAGACCGACACCGAAGCGTAGACCGAGACGGAGACACTGTTGAAATGCTTTTGAGCACATTCACATTCTCATTCACATTCACATTGATATCCGCATTCTCATTCACATCCGCAAGGGCGCACGTTTTTGGGCACCATAAAAAATCTGTTGCAAAGTGCGAGCTGTTGTTGTTGTTGTTGCTGCTGCTACTGCTGCTGCGGCTGTTGTTGTTGTTGTTGTTGTTGTTGTCCATGTGTTGATTTATAGTCGCAATTGTGCCTCGGCGCAACTAATTTGCCCCGAGTGCTAAGTAGCAAGCGAGCAGCCGCTTGTGTGGGTGGCTGACTGAAGCCGAAAGTATTTAGTAATAACTCCATAGAGTTCGCACAGCTCGAGTCGAGTCATCGACTCAGATTCGATATAAATATTGCAGCATATGAATCAATTCATCGATTGCTTAGCTGCAATTGCGGCAAGTGTGAATGCCAAATGATTCATTTATTCATATATTCTGAGGCAGAAAGTATTTAGTAATAACTCCATAGAGTTCGCACAGCTCGAGTCGAGTCATCGACTCAGATTCGATATAAATATTGCAGCATATGAATCAATTCATCGATTGCTTAGCTGCAATTGCGGCAAGTGTGAATGCCAAATGATTCATATATTCATATATTCTGAAGCAGAAAGTATTTAGTAATAACTCCATAGAGTTCGCACAGCTCGAATCGACTCAGATAAAAACAGTTTTAAATATTGCAGCATATGAATCAATTCATCGATTGCTTAGCTGTAATTGCGGCAAGTGTGAATGCCAAATGATTCACATGTGTATTCATTCATGCATCGAATATATATCAACAGAATCAGCTGCACCTCAGCTGCGCTTCAGGTAGTATTACGTAACGGGCTGCAGTGGCTTCTTAAGTAATGTAAAGCACTCTGTCTCTCCCTCCCCCCTCTCTCTCTCTCTCTCTCACTCTCTCACTCTCTCTCTCTCTCTGTAAATTGTAATTGCATTTGGCTTACAATCACTCATTGATGTGCTCTCAAAAAGGCATCAAACAGTCTTTTAGCCCGATTCGATTCGAACTTCCATCAATTATGCACTGCTTGCGTGTGCTCTTAATTGAATATGTAATATGAAATTCAACTATGGCACACACTTGCACTCATGCATTATTCACCTGGCTGCAATCTGAGTCCATTCATACACACACACACACACACGCATGCACACACATACAGTGATCTCTGGGACTTGTTAAACTTCATTCAGCTTGGCCAAAAACTTGATCTGAAAACGATTTGTATACAGTCCATTTGACAGCAGTTATCGTATGTTGTGCTCCCTCTCTCACTTCATCTGTGCCTCTCTGTAAACTTTTCCGGTGCTTGGCAACGCTTGGCGAAAGAAGAAGTAGAGCGAGCGAGGGAGAGGGAGAGGGAGAGAAAAAATAGGAAACCCAAGCGGCGCGGCTCACTTGAAAATCGTTTAAATGTTGCCAAATCGCTCGTAACCAGCAACATCAACAAAACAGGCTAATAAAGCAAGCCAACAACAGTGAAGGACGAGCAGACAGACAGACAGACAGAAAGGCAGACAGGCAGACGGGGGAGACAGAGGCGGGCGAGCAGGGCAGGAGCAGCCAAAAGGGCAACCCAAATAAAATCAGAGCCACATCAAATGCCAAACGTCTGTTCGCAAATATGAAAATGGATTTCGAATGGATTTCCAGCAGGTCTCCTCTGCAGCCAGAGTCAGGGAGTTCCACATGGCTTCGTAGCTGGACAATGGCGGTCAGATGCCACATTTAAAGTAGGGCAGGAGTAGGAGCAGCAGCAGGAGTAGGGATTGGACTTAGGGATAGGAGTGCCGCCACATATGCAGGCAAATCGGACGCAAACATTCACTTAGCCATAATAAAAGAAATGAGCAAACGCAAAGCGGCCAACAACAATGCGAAAATACCAAAAACTGAACACAGAAAAAAAAAAAAAAAAAAAAAATGAAACCAATTCAATTGCAATGCAAAGAAGACGAAGCAGAGGCAGAAGTAGAAGAAGTAGAGCAACAAACGGCAAAATTGTTGAAATTTGTCAATTTGTTGTTGTCGCATTTTAAATGTGCTCTCCACATATTTCTATTTTTGGAATACACTGGACAGTGCGGCCATATCAGCTATAAGCAGAGATATGGGAAATATGTATATAGAGTGTGTGTGAGAGAGAGAGAGAGAGAGGGAGACAGATTCTCTGATTTGATTAGAATAGCTGACTCTTACCCTAGATCTCTCTCTCTCTCTCTCTCTCTCTCTTTCACTCTCTCTTATAGAAGTTGCAAACTGCAATTGAAGGGGTATCTAGTATTCCGGCAGCTGGTCAAACGCGTCTCAGCTCCGCTTTTGCCTTTTGTTGTGCGCTGCTGGCCAAATTCAACGCACAGTTGCCAGTTTCGATAAGCAGCTCGAAGCGGCAGTTGGCTCTAGAGTCTTGTCTGGCTGGTGAGATTTAGCCATGCTGATTAAAATTGAATGATGGCCAGCAGGCCAGAGGACTGGGGACAGGCAGAGGGACAGCGACAAGGACAGCGACAGCGACAGCAGCAGCGACAGCAGCAGCGACAGCGAGTGACATAGAAATTGCCATGTCCCCAGCTAAAAATTCAGGATCCACAAAAACTGTAG